AAGTCTCACTCTCGTGGGACTCCCGGGGAGGGGGCGGCAGGGTGAGGTGGTGGCCGAGGTCTCAGAAAGGCGGTCTGGCTGGAGCCGCACCCTGGGATGCCAGGGTCCTGCAGTAGGACCCCCGTTCTAGGGGTTCTTGGGTTTTGGGGGTGGGGATAACTCCTGGAGCCGGGCCCAGCCTGTGGCTGAAATCCTGTGGCTGAAATCCTGTGGCTTTGCTTTCCTGAGCTGAAGGCCTGAAGCCATGCCTGCCTGGGGCTTTCCCCACATTCGGAATTCTTGTGTTCCAGGCCTCGTCAGGCCAAATCTGTGACATCTGGCAAGGATGGCAAGGACCCTTCCCCCCCAAGAGATGCCGAGGGTTTGGTTCGTGGGCTGTCTTAGTCTGTTTGTACCGACACATCGAAAAACCACCAGACAGACGTTTGCTGGGAAGTCCGGGATCTCGTGCCTGCAGCATCGGTTTCTGGTGACACTTCTCGTCCTGGCTTCTTGGTGGCACAGAGAGAGAGGGCTCTGGTGTGTCTGCTAAGGGCACGGATCCTGTCCTGTCACAGGACAGGTGTGACACAGCGTCAGGACAAGTGTCCTGCCACACTGTGGCCTCATTATGTCCTGAGGGCTTCAACATAGGAATTTGCAGGGTGGGGGACACAACTCAGCCCGTAGCATTGGCCGTCCTGGGCCTTTCCTTCCACGCTGATCCATCATGTTGCACTTTCTGTCCCCCGTGCCCCACACATGCACCTGGGCTGCTGGGTCTCGCCTGGGCACAGCCCTTCCCTGACTGGAAAAGCACAGGCCTGCACACGCCACCCCTGTGTCGTCGGTTGATAGCTTGCGGGCTCTGCTACTTAGAAGCTGCATGACTTTATAGGTCTGCCTCTTGGAGCCTCTGTTGTTCTCATCTCTGGAATGGGGACGATGGTTTCGGTCTCTCGGCTCGTTACTTAGCTCGTTCCTGGCCCGGGGGTGCATGTAGGGAATACAGACTGCGTGGCTTTGGACGAAATCAGATCACAGGTATTGAGCCCCGAGGCAGGGCTCACTGTAGTAATTTGTATTCATACTTTACTGTTCTAAGGACACACATTTCTTTTTTTTTTTTTTAATTTTTTTTTCAACGTTTATTTATTTTTGGGACAGAGAGAGACAGAGCATGAACGGGGGAGGGGCAGAGAGAGAGGGAGACACAGAATCGGAAACAGGCTCCAGGCTCTGAGCCATCCGCCCAGAGCCTGACGCGGGGCCCGAACTCACGGACCGCGAGATCGTGACCTGGCTGAAGTCGGACGCTCAACCGACTGTGCCACCCAGGCGCCCCTAAGGACACACATTTCTATTATCTGCAGTGATTACAAGAAATGGAGACGGGATCTGGGACTCTTCTCAAATGGTCAGAAAGGGGGACGAACAGACCCACAGGGAAGGGATTTCCCAAACCTTTTACAGTAGGTTTTTCGGGACTGATCTAATCCTAAGACTAGTACTTTGAATTTAAAGCATGTGGTTGTTTTTTTTTTTTTTTTAAGTTTATTTATTTATTTTGAGAGAGAGTGTCCAAGGGAGGGGCAGAGAGAGAGGGAGAGAGAGAATCCCAATCAGGCACCTCGCATTGTCAGTGTGGAGCCTGACATGGGGCTCGAACCCACAAACCTCGAGATCGTGACCTGAGCCGACACCATGAGTCAGATGCTTCACCGACTGAGCCACCCAGGTGCCCCTAACGCATGTGTTTTATGAACTCAGGTTGGGATTTCAAAGGGGACCTGTGGCCGTGGCCAAAGTGTCCTGAAGTCAGTTCTGTTATTTGCTCATTTGTCATCGGCGTCTGAAGTTGCACTCTGAATAGCAGATGTGAGGCTCAGTCATCTCACTGTCACGCCGATTGTTCACTGTTCTGAGAAGGTCACATCATCATTCATTAGCACTAATTAGTCCCCCGACACCCCTGCACCTCTTCCCTCAACTGCTCCATTAACTTGGGTGCGAATCACACGTTCCAGGCGCCAATCAACGAAGATCTGTCCATAATGCACAAGGTGATGCTATTAGTTACAATATATTAACTGCCTAATTTAAAAATACAAAAGCTATCTTTATGAAGGGCAATTAACCACTAACGTGATTGATAATTCATAACACTCTAATTAGGAAAGACAAATATTAAGAAAGGACTGAGCCACCTGGGCTGTTGATTGAGACATTGTTAGCCTCTCGGTGTGTGTTCACTCTGTTATTGGTAGATCTACGGATTTCTTGCCAAGTGGCACCTGTCAGCCCCAGTGCATGGAGGGTCAGGAGGCTGATCTAATGTGGGAACACGTGTTCTCCCCGCTGAATCCTGCCTGTTGCCAGCGGGGCTTGTGAGGGAGCTGGAGGCTCAGGACACCCTTGGGGGAAGCAGTAAGTGTACTAAGGAGGGTCCCTCTCGCCGGCGGTCATTTGGATTTTCCATCCCTCAGTCATTCAGCAAATGCTTATGGTGAGCCTGCCTCGTGCCCAGCCCCATGCGAAGCACTGGGGATGCCGAGGAGAACAGACCAGATGTCATTCCTGGTCTCATGGTGCACGCAGGTCTGGGAGAGAGACAGTAAGCAAAGATATAAATCGGATGATTTGATTGGCGATGCTGGCTAGTGTTATAAAGAAAGAAAAATACAGATAGGTAGTATGAGGGCAGTGTCGCACAGGGTGGAGAAGGGGACGCTGGACAGACATACCACCTTTCCCCCAGTTCTGTCATCGCTAAGGAGTGTTGCATTTGGAGCTCCCTCCACCCCAGGATGGAGTAGATTGCCTGAGGCATCCCTACCCGCTCAGTGAGTCTCCTTTCCAGCTTCATTTTCTGGCTCAGCTTCCATCTACCCAAGGCTGCTAGAAGATTCTGACACCTGACCGGGTCCCAGGAGGGCAGGGCCTGCCCCGCACCTGCTCCTCCCTCCCTGTGCTCCGCCCACCCTTCCCTGGCCTTCTTGTCTGTGCTGCAAGAGATTCTAGTTGGACCTGGCTCTTCTGGGAAGTCTTCTCTGAGACCCCATCCTGGGATGAGACCTTTCTGTCCTCTGGACCCCCTTTGGCTTTATAGGCCACCGTGGATGTGCTTCCTGTTCCTGACTCCACATCAGTTCCAGTATCTGCTTTGGGGTCGAGTAGGAATGAGTCCACGTCCCTAGAGTCTCAGATCCAGGAAGAGGAGCAGAAAGTCCTTGAACTTTCTGAGACTCAAATGTCCTTAGTCATCAAGCAGGATAAAAAGTGTCACTGCTAGGGTTGGGGCACAGTAGCACTTTTGGTTGGGTCTCACTTATTTGCCCAAATGGAGATTGAGTTCAAGTGCGTAGTTCTGAGTAACTGGGTCCAATCTGTGTGTTTACTTCTGCACACGGGGCCGTCTCTGAGCACGCGATTGGAGCCCGTCTCTCTCGTACATGAATATCTATGTCTAAATAACAAATGTTACGTACTTAACACTGGATTAAATGTATTATTTATATTACTAAAAACTGTAAAACTTGAAAGGTGGCTGAAAAGTAAAGGTGAATTCCTGCATGTTTGGAGACCACTGATGTGCGTGTGTCTGGAGATCTGTCTACGAACAGTGCTGGGTGACGATTAGCGTACCTGGTTAACTTTACTAGGGGTTTCCCGGGCCTCCCGACTTGTGGCCTGGTGTCTTTTCCACGATCCCACGGTGCCGAGTAGGACTGCTCCTTTGTCCCGGCCGCGGCTTGTCCAGAGAGGGCTGTGTGTTCTGGGCCAGGGCCCGTGTGGACTTCCCGCCTCCTACTGGACCCCTGGCTCGTGGGCTCAGCCATGCCAGCCTCCTTTCCTTCCCTGTGCCGGGCTCCCTGTGCCCTGTTCTCCCTTCAGGCCTCAGCTCCCGAGCAGTCTCCCCACCCACTCTGGTCCCCATCTGTCTCTTCATCCCGTCCAGTCCTTCAGAGCACCTCTCTGTTCGCAAATCACAAATTCGCCTTCCTTTGCGAAGTTTCCCTCCCGCCCACCAGATTGTGGCTCCAGGGGAGTGGGGAGCCTGTCTGCGGTCAAGGTTACGGTTCGGTGCACTGGCCCAGCCAGGCCACTTAGTAGGTGCTCAGTAACCTTGTGGGAGGTTGCGTGTTATTGCCTGTGGGGCCTCTTTACGCATCTACGTTGTGGCTTTGCGTTCTGAGAGCCTGCCCAAGTGCAGCCAAGACGGAGCAGGTGTCCTGTGAGAGAAGGAATGTGGGTGCTGCTGACCTTTCACAGCACCTCAGGGTCACGTCAGGTTAACGCTGGGCCTGCAGGGGATCCCCGTGTCCTGCCTGTCTACCCGGGATCGCCCTGGGTGACAGGGCACCTCAGTGATCGCCTCAGTGACACCAATGAGAAGACACAGCTGAGCTTGGTCCCTTATCCTTCGCACTTTAGGGGAAATACGGATCCCGAGTGACTTAGGCACACGCAGCTCACATGACAAGTGGAATTGCTAACCATGGAATGGTATAGAGAAGTTGCTGCGGACATGCATAGGTGATCTCCAGCCGGGCCGAGTGGGACCAGACGGTGGCGGGAGATCTCCAGGGGGTCTCAGAAGGTGGGAGAATTGGCACGTGTAGAGAGGCAACGTGTCTCAGGCAGAAGGAGTGGAGGAAATGTGTCCCAGGTGAAGGGTGTAGAGATGTGTCTCAGATGAAGAGGTGGGGACGTGGCCCAAGCAGAGGGAGTGGGACATGTCCCAGGCGGAGGGAGTAGAGACGTGTCCTGGGCACCAAGCTCAGTGAGGATGGAAAGGAGGGTTGTGGGGCCTGTCGGGGCTCCCTGGAAAGGGTCAGCCCTAGTTCGGCATCCCCGTCCTGACCCCAGGTCAGCCGAGGCCAATCTCTGGGAGCCACGGTGGCCTGGCCTGCGCAGAGGGTCCTGACTGCCCTTGGGAAGCGCCCATCTGGCTTCCTCCTCAGAGGCCGCAGGCTCTGAGGGCCGACAGCACCCTCTGCCTGTCCTGTTCTCACTTCCAGACTGAAGCGGTCCCAGCTGAAGGTGAGGTTCTGCACCAACGAGTCACAGAAGTCCCGGGGGGACCTGGTGGGGCTCCTGCGGCACATGGGCTTCGACATCTCTGAGGGCGAGGTGACCGCCCCGGCCCCGGCCACTTGCCTGATCCTGAAGGAGCGAGGCCTGCGGCCACACCTGCTCATCCATGACGGTAGGCCTGCTGGGCCTGGGCCTGGGCCTGGGGCTGGTGGGGGTGGGGGAGGGTGTCCCTCTCCCCTGGGCCAAAGTCCTGGGAAGGACACGGAGAAATTTGGCTCCTGCTGGGGGCCTGTGAGGTGGAAGCTGAGTGGGCTTCCTGCTGGGGACCAGGCCCCTTCCATCCCCGGCCTAATAGCAGACGATGAGGCACGTTCCAGATGCCTCAGGAACATCCTGAGCCTGCTCTCTTTGATCTAGAAGGGACCGAGGGGGCAGGGAATTGTCACGGGGCAAAGTTCTAGCTTCTAGGGTTGGTGGGGGTGGGGAGGTTTCTGTCTGCTACCACCCCCTACTCCCTCCCTGCCTCCCCTGCCCCCCCCCCCCCCCCCCACCCCCCCCAAGCTTAAGCTCTGTTGGTGAAAAACAGCCCTGCTCTCTGGCAAATGGCACAAGGTTTACATCCCGATCTTAGTCTAAAGACAAGGAAAGAGCCCCTTTGACCCTCGGTGCGGAGTTCTTCTGGAAAGAAGTGGAAGGAGCAGTATGATCTGGTACCTTCTGAATATTTAAAAAGAAGAAACATAAGCAGTGCTTCGGAATTCAGGACACTTTCCTGTCGATGCACCGAGCCCTCTTTCTTCCCCCGCGCTTGGTATTTTTATTTACAAACCACTGGCAGAAGGATACTTTGCCTCCTGGCAGGAGCGGGGGGGCCCCCGGAGTTTGAGGGTGCTCCCTGAAAGGCCCGAGTGTCAAATCCATAGCTCTGGTGCCAGTCAAGGGCAATATGCCCAGGCTTTAGAAATCCTGTTTCTCAAAAATCCTTCCTCTGTGATCTGGGATCACAGCCAGCCCAGCGTCTTTAGAACAGGTCCTCAAAGAGAAGGAAAAACTTAAGAGAGAAAATCCCTGCCCCTGGGGCAAAGGGAGGGTTGGGGGTGGAGTGAGCAGGGAGGGAGGGGGGGAGGGTCAGCATCTGCCTCTTAAGGGCGCAGAAGCAAGTGGATATTAGAGCTCGCACTGGCTGGAGGGGCAGCCAGAGTGGCCTCTTGGGCTACAGTCTGCCTCTGTTTTCAGACTTGGAATCTTTCCAAGTTTTATTGTTGATGAATTCTCCCCCCCGCCCCACTGCCAGCATTTTATTATGACATTTTGAAACATACAGCGAAGCCGAAGGAATTTTAGTTGGGGTATTTGTATGCTCGTCACCTTGACTTTACCAGTGACGTTTTTACTGTATTTTGTTCTTCATGCGTCTGCCCGTCCCTCCGTCCATCTTTTCATCTTATCTTTTTGATGCGTCTCAAGGTAAACGGCAGACATTGGTACACATCCCCAAAACTTCAGCACATCATTAACTAGGGTTCAACATCTGTTTATATTTCTTCTTTCTGATAGGAAATTTATGCACGGTGACATGCAGACCTCTCTAGTGTACTTCTGAGTTTTCGCAGATGCGAAACCCTGTCACGATCAGGATCGAGAACTTAACCATCACCTTGAAAGTTCCCTCACGTGCTGCCCAGTCAGTGCCCATCCCCTCCTGCCTCGGGGGTACCCAGTGTTCTGGCTTTTTCCCTTCTGAATAGGTCTGCCTTGTCTAGAGTTTTATATAAATAGAATCACACGGCATCTAGTTGTGTCGGGGTTCTCCCGGCCACACTCAGGCTTGATGATTTTGCTAGAAGGACTCACAGGCCTCAGAAAAGCTGTCAGACTCAGTCACAGCTTCCCACAGTGCAAGAACACAGCGTGAACTCAGTAAGGGGAAGAGAGGTGTGGGTGAACTCCGGGAGAATCCAGGCGACCTTCCAGTGGTCCCCTCCCGTGGAGTTGCCCTGAGATGCACCTGATTCTCCCAGCAGAGGTGTGTGACAGCACCTGTGACATGTTGTCACCCAGAGAAGCTGACTGGAGCCTTGTGCCCAGGGTTTCTATTAAGGGTCCCTCACGTGGGTCTGTAGCACCTGGGTGACTAACCCTGGCTGCTCAGTCTCCAACCCCCCAGGGCCCCAGGCTTACAAAACACTCTTTTCTGGTGGAATATTCCAGGGGCTCAGAGGTGATCTCCCAGGTGCTGGTGGAAGGCCCGTCCTGAGGACAGCCTTTCTTTGGAATTTGCAGGATCCAAGCAGCCCAGGCCTGCTGGGTTTTTGTTTGCTTGCTTGTTTGTTTTTATTAAAAAAAAATTTTTTTTAACATTTCATTTATTTTTGAGAGAGAGAGAGAAACAGAGAGCAAGTGGGGGAGGGGCAGAGAGAGAGGGAGAGACAGAATCTGAAGCAGGATCCAGGCTCTGAGCTGTCAGCACAGAGCCTGATGCGGGGCTTGAACCCAAGACCCGTGAGAGCATGACCTGAGCTGAAGTCGGACGCTTAACAGGCTGAGCCACCCGGGCACCTCTTTGTTTTGTTTTGTTTTTTAAGTTTATTTCTTTAGAGAGAGAGAGAGAGAGAGAGACACCAAGTGTGCAAGCAGGGGAGTGGCAGAGAGAGACACAGAGAGCGAGAGTGAGAGAGAGAGAGAGAGAGAGAGAGAATCCTAAACAGGCTCATGCTCAGCACGGAGTCTGACACAGGGCTTGATGTCATGACCCTGAGATCGTGACCAACTGAGCCGCCCAGGTGCCCTGCAACTTTCCCTGTTTGATGGAAAATTGGGCAGAGAAGGTGAAGGGGGAAGAAGCTTTCCTCAGGGGATTGGAGAGCCAGGCCAGCAGGGGTGAGGCCTTCCTAAGGACGGGTGAGCTGGGCCAGCAGGGGTGAGCTTCTGCTCCTTCTTTTCAGCCTGTGTGTGTGTCCCAGCTCTGCTGTGTTCAGTGGCATGGGGCTGGAATGCTCGATGGTTCCTAGAGTCTGGGTGCAGCAACAGCCACCCTCTAAAGGCTACCAGCAGCCGGATTTGACCCTGCATCCAGGGATCTGTGTCTTCCAGGAGAATCTCTTCTCAGTTGCAGGGCTGTGGGTTTCCTACCTGTGGTATCGAGCTGGGTAGTCCCTGGGGTGATGCCAGTGTTGGGGCAGGGACCCCGAGGGCGGGCCCGTCTTTCTCCTAACAAGCCCTAACTGTGGAACATTCCTTCATCTGTACAACGGGAGTAACAGCCCTTCCTGGTTCACCTCCCGTACAGCTGTAAGCGTCAGGAGGAATATCCGAGAAAGGGGCAGGGCCCACGTGGCAGGCAGAAGGGGTCCCTGGGAGGAGATGGGAGGTAGGCCACGTCACCCCAGGGCTTTATCCTTTTTTCTCTTTTCAGGAGTCCGCTCAGAATTTGCCCAGATCGACACGTCCAACCCGAACTGTGTCGTAATAGCGGATGCAGGAGAAAGCTTTTCTTACCAAAACATGAATAAGGCCTTTCAGGTGCTCATGGAGCTGGACAATCCTGTGCTCATATCTTTGGGAAAAGGGTAAGTCAGCTTCAGGAAGAGCGTTTCTGGCTGCTTTGCATGCCGTTCTGTGGGCCTGTGCCTTAGAGAATCAGTAAATGGTGCAGAAAAGTGGGTGTGGGGTGGGCACAGGCTGCCTTCCGTTTCCCCCCCTGCTTTGTTTCTTTCTTGATTTCTTCCTTCCTTTCTTTTAATGATGTATGAGGAAAGTAGAATCGTCTGACTTCAGGAGCAGGTTAGTCAGGCTTCCATGCGGGCTCAGGGCTGGGACAGGCTGGGGGAGGGGAGGGGAGGGGAGGGGAGGGTCACTGGGGACAGAAGCTCCATGGAGTCTCAGGGCGCCAGTGCTGGCTGTCCCAAGGTTAGGTGCGTTCGCACAGGGTACAGCACAAGGCATCGAAGGATTGTCTCCAGGGGACACGTGAGTAGGAAAGAAAAGGCTTGACGGCCCAGAGGAAAGCTCTGGGCCGGGCTCCACATCTCGGGCTGCAGAGCATGACCTCTGTAAAGTTGTGATCTTATTACCAACATTTTTGTCGGAGCCTTTAGCACAGTCCTCACTATCTGTTTGTTTCTTTCTCTTTCTTTCTTTCTTTCTTTCTTTCTTTCTTTCTTTCTTTCTTTCTTTCAAGCATTTATTTTTGAGAGAGAGATAGCAAGCTGGGAAGGGGAAGAGAGAGAGGGAGAGGAGAATCCCAAGGCACAGAGCCCGATGTGGGGCTCGAACCCACAAACCTCAAGATCATGACTGGAGCCGAAGTTGGACGTTCAACCGACTGAGCTGCCCAGGTGCCTCATGTCTCTTTCTTTTAAAAAACCACATTGGTTATTTATTTTTTTTTTTTAATTTTTTTTTCAACGTTTTATTTATTTTTGGGACAGAGAGAGACAGAGCATGAACGGGGGAGGGGCAGAGAGAGAGGGAGACACAGAATCCGAAACAGGCTCCGGGCTCTGAGCTGTCAGCACAGGGCCCGACGCGGGGCTCGAACTCACGGACCGCGAGATCGTGACCTGAGCCGAAGTCGGACGCTCAACCGACTGAGCCACCCGGGCGCCCCCCCAAAAACATTTTTTTTCATAAAATATCTCTGTGGCATGGTTTTCCTAGAATCTTTTTTTATAGGCTGTCCTGTAGATTTTTTGTTTTAGAGATTTATTTATTTAAAAAAAATATTTTTTTAATGTTTATTTTTGAGAAAGAGTGCAAGTGAGGGAGGGGAAGAGAGGAGGGAGACATCGAATCCGAAGCAGGCTCCAGGCTCCGAGCTGTCAGCACAGAGCCCGATGAGGGACTCGAACCCGTGAACCGTGAGATCATGACCTGTGCCAAAGTCGGACGTTCAACCGATGGGCCACCAGGTGCCCCAAAGATGTATTTATTTTTGAGAGAGAGAGTGAAAGCTGGAAGGGGGCAGAGAGAGAGGGAGATGTAGGATCTGAAGTGGGCTCCGTGCTGACAGCAGCGAGCCCAGCGAGGAGCTTGAAGCACGAGAGCCGTGAGATCATGACTTGAGCTGAAGTAGGACGCCCAGCTAACTGAGCCACCCAGGTGCCCCCATCCTGTAGTCTTTTAAGCCAATAACTTCTGAGGGACATTAAGTTATTTCTGATTTTCCACCAAAGTAACGCTGTGGTCAGCATCTTCGTGCATTTAGAATGGTGGGCATATCTGAGGTTCTGGACTCATGTCACCAAGTTGCTTACCAGAAAGCTGTGCAGACTTACTCTGTCATCAGCAGAGGCAACACTAGGGTTTTAGAGTCACGGGCTCTTAAGGGTGCAGGGGCACTGTGGAGCCCTGCCCCAGCGTTTTGTGCCCTGCGGGAGTTTGGGGGCCCGCCTCTGGGGAAGGCTTTCCCAGTTTAGATGCTTCTGCTGATTGGGAACTCCCGACCTCTGCCTGCTGGACAGGGCAGGCCATTCCAGTAGTCAAGGGAGGGACCTTGTGTTTGGCCACCAGCCATTGGTAAGTACTTTATGTGCTCCGTTTTGTTTAATTCTGATCACGACCCTGAGAGTTGTAGGCCATGGCATCATTTTACAGGTGGGCTCATTGAGGCATAAGGAGGTGAAGTAGGCCAGGATCCCCAGCTGGTAAATGCTGGGAGTGCCACCCGGACCCCGTGCTTGTCACCTCTAGGTTGTATTCGAGAGCAAATGTTTGGCCCACACAAGATCCTGCATTCTGGGGGGACCCGTGTTTAAAAATGGGGAGATTTTTCGGGGCGCCTGGGTGGCGCAGTCGGTTAAGCGTCCGACTTCAGCCAGGTCACGATCTCGCGGTCCGGGAGTTCGAGCCCCGCGTCAGGCTC